GTCATGGTCTGTTATGGTGTGTGTGTCTGTCATGGGGTGTGTATCTGTCATAGTATATGTGTGTTTCTGTGTCTGTCATGGTGTAAATGTGTGTTTAAAAATAGTGTTTTTGCTCACCTTTTTTTTTTTCCCATGCAGCGTGCTGGTCTCCCCTCGACTGGCCCTGCCTCTGTAGCTGAGATCATGCAAAACGCCACTCCAATCAGCATCTCCTCATAGAGATGCATTGAATCAATGTATCTCTATGGGGAACGTTCAGCACCTACAGAGTGTGGAGGCCCTGAATGTAGGTGCACTAACACAGGAAGCACCTCTAGTGACCGTCTGAGTGACTGTCATTAGCAGTGTCATTTTGAAGCAATGTAAACACTGCCTTTTCTCTGAAAAGTCAGTGTTTACGTTGAAAAGCCTGTAGGGACATGCTATAGACACCAGTACCACCACATTAAGCTGTGTGTGTGCGTCTGCTAGTGAGTGAGCTTGCTTGCATGCGTGTGCCTGCTAGTGAGTGAGTTTGTGTTTTTATGTCAATGAGCTGATGTATATCAGTAAGATTGTTTGTCTATGAGGCTGTGTATCAATGAGCTTGTGTGTGTCATTGAGATGTCAGTGAAATTGCCTGTGTCTGCATGTGAGTATGCTTACTGTATAATTAAAAGTTTTACCCTGAAAGGACAAATATTTCAAATAAGAAAAAGCAATATATATATATATATATATATATATATATATATATATTACTCAATCATCTGTCCTGGCAAGACATAGCCTTACATATTACACGCGACAATATATGGCGCAGTGACTTATGGGGCTGGCACAAATTTTTTTTCCAGGGCTGCTTTGTATCCCCAGTCCGGCCCTGCTCACAGTGTCTCTCAGTGTCCCATGTCTCACAGTCTCTCAGTGTCCCATGTCTCACAGAGTCTCACAGTGTCCCATGTCTCTCAGTGTCTCTCAGTGTCCCATGTCTCACAGTCTCTCAGTGTCCCATGTCTCACAGAATCTCTCAGTGTCCCATGTCTGTCAGTGTCTCTCAGTGTCCCATGTCTCTCAGTCTCTCAGTGTCCCATGTCTCACAGTGTCTCTCAGTGTCCCATGTCTCACAGTCTCTCAGTGTTCCATGTCTCACAGAGTCTCACAGTGTCTCTCAGTGTCCTCCTCCCTCCCCCCATGTCTCTCAGTGTCTCATGTCTCACACAGTCCCATGTCTCACAGAGTATCTCAGTGTCCCATGTCTCTCAGTGTCTCTCAGTGTCCCATGTCTCACAGTCTCTCAGTGCCCCATGTCTCACAGTGTCCCGTGTCTCTGTGTCTCTCAGTGTCCCATGTCTCACAGTCTCTCAGTGTCCCATGTCTCACAGTGTCTCTCAGTGTCCCATGTCTCACAGTCCCTCAGTGTCCCATGTCTCTCAGTGTCCCATGTCTCACAGTCTCTCAGTGTCCCATGTCTCACAGTCTCTCAGTATCTCTCAGTGTCTCTCAGTGTCCCATGTCTCACAGTCTCTCAGTGTCCCATGTCTCACAGTGTCCCGTGTCTCTCAGTGTCCCATGTCTCACAGTCTCTCAGTGTCCCATGTCTCACAGTGTCTCTCAGTGTCCCATGTCTCACAGTCCCTCAGTGTCCCATGTCTCTCAGTGTCCCATGTCTCACAGTCTCTCAGTGTCCCATGTCTCACAGTCTCTCAGTATCTCTCAGTGTCTCTCAGTGTCCCATGTCTCACAGTCTCTCAGTGTCCCATGTCTCACAGTGTCCCGTGTCTCTCAGTGTCCCATGTCTCACAGTCTCTCAGTGTCCCATGTCTCACAGTGTCTCTCAGTGTCCCATGTCTCACAGTCTCTCAGTGTCCCATGTCTCTCAGTGTCCCATGTCTCACAGTCTCTCAGTGTCCCATGTCTCACAGAGTCTCTCAGTGTCCCATGTCTCTCAGTATCTCTCAGTGTCCCATGTCTCACAGTCTCTCAGTGTCCCATGTCTCACAGAGTCTCACAGTGTATCTCAGTGTCGTCCTCCCTCCCCCCATGTCTCTCAGTGTCTCATGTCTCACACAGTCCCATGTCTCACAGAGTCTCACAGTGTCTCTCAGTGTCTCTCAGTGTCCCATGTCTCATAGTGTCTCTCAGTGTCCTCCTCCCTCCCCCCTTATCTCACAGCGTCTCTCAGTGTCCTCCTCCCTCCCCCCTTATCTCACAGTGTATCTCAGTGTCCTCCTCCCTCCCCCCATGTCTCTCAGTGTCTCATGTCTCACACAGTCCCATGTCTCACAGAGTCTCTCAGTGTCCCATGTCTCTCAGTGTCTCTCAGTGTCCCATGTCTCACAGAGTCTCACAGTGTCTCATAGTGTCTCTCAGTGTCCTCCTCCCTCCCCCCATGTCTCTCAGTGTCTCATGTCTCACACAGTCCCATGTCTCACAGAGTCTCTCAGTGTCCCATGTCTCTCAGTGTCCCATGTCTCACAGAGTCTCACAGTGTCTCATAGTGTCTCTCAGTGTCCTCCTCCCTCCCCCCATGTCTCACAGTGTCCCATGTCTCACACAGTCCCATGTCTCACAGAGTCTCTCAGTGTCCCATGTCTCTCAGTGTCCCATGTCTCACAGAGTCTCACAGTGTCTCATAGTGTCTCTGTGTCCTCCTCCCTCCCCCCATGTCTCTCAGTGTCTCATGTCTCACACAGTCCCATGTCTCACAGAGTCTCTCAGTGTCCCATGTCTCTCAGTGTCTCTCAGTGTCCCATGTCTCACAGAGTCTCACAGTGTCTCATAGTGTCTCTCAGTGTCCTCCTCCCTCCCCCCATGTCTCTCAGTGTCCCATGTCTCACACAGTCCCATGTCTCACAGAGTCTCTCAGTGTCCCATGTCTCTCAGTGTCCCATGTCTCACAGAGTCTCACAGTGTCTCATAGTGTCTCTCAGTGTCCTCCTCCCTCCCCCCATGTCTCACAGTGTCCCATGTCTCACACAGTCCCATGTTTCTCAGTGTCCCATGTCTCACAGTCTCTCAGTGTCTCATGTCTCACAGTCTCTCAGTGTCCAATGTCTCACAGTGTATCTCAGTGTCCTCCTCCCTCCCCCCATGTATCTCAGTGTCTCATGTCTCACACAGTCCCATGTCTCTCAGTGTCTCCCTGCAGCCTGTGCTCACACTGGTCTCCCTCACTTACCTGAGCTGCTGACTGGAATCTATGTTCAGAGCTGCTCCCCCGCGGATCAGTGAGTAGAGAGAGGCAGGGAGGGAGATGATGTAACTTTCTATCTGTTCCTCTCTCCACACAGCGACCCCTGCTGGCCGGCGACGGTATTGCAGTCTAATCTCAGTTTATACAGAAAAATACCAGCAGAAAACATTTGTATTGCTGGTATTATTGCAATACCGGCACTGGCCAGGCACCCTCAAATACCGGCCTGGTGTCAACGCTACATGAGACAAAACATTCAGACAGCCAGTCAGAAACATCAAGAACAGACAGGAACGGAGAAAATATACAACAAACACAACAGACAGAAACAAGAGTGACATGTTCATCCACAGACACTTCAAAAAGACAGACAGACTTACGTACACTATATAAAAATACAGGCGGACATAAAGAGACTGACATCGCATAAAGGAAGATATACAAGTCATAAAGAGACACTGCGGGTAAGGAAAGACATTGCAACTTAGCATTAAAAACTCCATGTCCGTAGCTTACAATCTATTCGCCCCATAGGGTAATAAAATCGTACCAAAAGACACGGCACTAAAAAGACCAATCCCCTTTAGCAAGCCAAGCAGCATCGCAAGTGACAATCGACATGTTTCATATTGACAAAAATATATATTTTTTAATTATTTTACAAGGATTGAAACAAAATATTTTGTGTGATTTTTTTTTCTTAGTTTGTTTACCGGTTATATTATGATTTTATTATTCCTGGGGACATACTACAAATTTTAGTGTAAATATACCCAAGTTCTGGGAAAGAACCAAGTAATCTTTCCATGTAGTTTCACTTTTTGGGGGCATGTGTACCCCAAGTTATAAGCCTCGGTTCTCGCCTGTGTATTATGTAATTTTATGTGGTTAAAATTGGAAAGAACCACTTAATAGTTATTGCCAAAGAAATCAGAGGATAAAGTTGCTTCCAATTTTATATTCAGCCGTTTCTAAAATGAAAAGAAAAAAAAATATTGTTTTTTTTCTCAAGAACATCTTCGGTTTTGATTTTCATTTAAATGTTACATATAAGAGAATAACAAAAACAGTTGGACTGAGAGATAGTTTAAGGAGGAATGCTATTTCTGCCCCTAAATGAAAAAAATTTCGGGGGTGGGGTGAACAACTGTCTACTTTGCTTTTGTATTTTGCTGATCCCTAGTAGTGATGTCCCGAACGGTTCGCCGAACGAGCAGGACTTCATTTATAGGTTCCTTGACCCTGGGAGCCTACAGTCACCAGCCAATTGGAGACTCCTTTGAGCTCTCCCACCTCCTGGACAGCTCACTAAGAATGCAGTTTCAAAATGGATGCTGTCCAGGAGGTGGGAGGGTCTGGGAGGGAGGGTCTGCTGCTGATTGGCTGGAATGTGTCTGCTGACTGTGAGGTACAGGGTCAAAGTTTACTCAATGATGA